TGCCTCAGCCTCCCAAGTAGCTGGGACTATAGGCGCCTGCCACAATGCCCGGCTTTTTTTTGGTTGCGGTTGTCATTGTTGTTTGGCAGGAGTGGGCTATATTTGAACCTGCCAGCTCTAGTGTACATGGCTGGCACCTAAGCCACTTGAACTATAGCGTCGAGCCTTTTCTTCTTTTTTTCTTTTTTAAAGAGAAATTTTCTTTAAGAACAAGGAGAAAACTTAGAGCACTTCCAAAGAGAGATGGAAGTGGGTCCCTTTCATGGAAGAGAAGAGGTAAGAGAGATCCAGACAGAGCCTCACTTTGACTCCCTTGGTACACTGCTGTAGCATCATAGCTCACAGCAATGTCAAACTCCTGGGCTCAAGTGATTCTCTTACCTCAGCCTCCCAAATAGCTGGGACTACAGGCGCCCGCCACAATGCCCAGATATTTTTATAGAAGGGGTCTCAATCTTGCTCAGGCTGGTCTGGAACCTGTGAGCTCAGGCAATCCACCCACCTCAGCCTCCCAGAGTGCTAGGATTATATAGGTGTGAGCCACCTCACCTGGCTCAAGCAATTCTTTTGCCTCAGCCTTTCAAATAGTTGGGACTACAGGCACCCACCACAAGCCTGACTATTTTTAGAGGCAGGGTTTCACTCTTGCTCAGGCTAGTCTCCAACTACTGAGCTCCTGCCTCCGCTTCCCAGACTGCTAGACTACAGGTGTGAGCCACCTTGCCTGACCTTAAATTGCCTACACTTTGTAACAACTACTTCCATGGTGTTTCCAAAAACAATAAGTGACCAGATTTACTGTCGATTTAGTAAAGTCTTCAATAAAAACATTAACTATTATTTTACTTACAGATAGATGTTGTCAAAAGTGCCATCTTTTTCACAGATGTTTAAGACATGATTTAACATTTTAGTTCCTATTAAGACAAACAACAAATAAGTAACTTCATAAATCAACCTTTAAATTACACATCTATCCATCTGTTACCTTAACTACTTGGGTCCTAACAGAATTTATGAGGTATACACTAAACATCCTTCTTTATCCTTCTTTTGTTTTCTTTTTTTTTTTTGAGACAGAGTCTCATTTTGTCACTCTTGGTAGAGTACCATGATGTCACAGCTCATAGCAACCTCAAACTCTTGAGCTCCCATGATTCTCTTGCCTTAGCCCCCCAAGTAGCTGGGACTACAGGTGCCTGCCATAACACTTGGCTATTTTTAGAGAGGCTGGTCTGAAACCCATAAGTTCAGGCAATCCACTGCCTCAGCCTCCCAAAGTGCTAGGATTACAGGCATGAGCCATGGCACCGGGCCTTAGATATCCTTATTTTCCAAAATTTTGTTCTCTCTCTACAATAGCTGTGTATGTTTAAAATTATCAGAAAATTAACCTTTTTATACAAGCACTTCCAGGCAGAAAACAGAAAAGGTAAAAGGGGATGTAAATAACAAATCTATGTAGGGTTTCCAACTCATTTATGTTAATAAACATTAGTTATTTTTCATTTTATTTTATATACTCAGTAACCCATCTCCAGTATTCCAAAAAAGAAACAAATTGCCCTACTATATCAGCTACATTGACAATGTATTTATGCTTCTATGAAGAAGTAAAAATTCACAAGTGATTTTACCTATTCCTAGCCTTCGGTAAGGTGCCAGACATCCTAATGTCATGATGTAAAGTCTCTTCTGGTTCTGTGAATGATCCACTCTACAGCACACCGCACCTACAGCAATATCATTGAAATAGGCTGCCACAGAAAATAAATATAAAGATATAATGTTCAATAGACAGAATTAACACATTCTATTTAATATTCTTCCCTTCTAAAGAACAACACCATTACTAGCAACATTAAATTTTGTATCAGCTACTTTATGAGTATCAATAGCCTCAAAAATCTTACACTGTCTTAGGAAGTTGAATCTTCCCCTAGAATAAAGCTAAGTGAAAACTCACAGGCATACACTAAATAATAGAGAACACTTAAATCATTTCCTTTTAAAATTCAAGCATTTTGATTCCTCTGACATTTTTCTTAGAACCTAGACTTCCTCCATTTCCACACTTGGAGACCAAATTACTTAACTCTCTCTGCTTTAATATTTAAAACAGGGTTTAAGAACACAAAGAAATGAAGGGGGATTAAAAAAAACATATACCAAGTTTTGCTAATTCGCCAACCTCCAGCACATCCTTGTAGAACTTGTCATTGTAGCTGACTGGAAAGATGACCTGGTTCAATCTCTTCAACTGTTTAATATTGTGTGGTGTTACATCTCCCAGCTCGATCCGGCTACTGGAACAAACCAAAATGTACTCAATAAAATATAATTAACTTGATGTGCTGAGCTATAATGAACATACCAAAAAGATACCAAGATTTTTTTACTTGATAACCCAACCCTTTCATATTCCTATGAAGATTACTATTTATAAGCAAATTCTAATAGCCATTTGATTCAAATTCTAACTCAAAGTTTTCATACAATCATACACATTTACGGACAAATACAGCACACAACAAATACTAAGGCCAGAATAATATTCTACGATAAATGCTAAAATTTTCCTTGTAGTTTATAGTTCAGAAAAATTCAGATACACCTATTATAGATCAAAAAAGACTCATGATACTTAACACTGGCAAAAGGGTAGCAAATGGTATTCTTTGCATCCCCTGCACCCCTGCAGATGGGATGTAAATGGATACAATATCCCTTAAGGACAATCTAGCATCCTGCATCAGAAGCCTAAAAATTACATCTCCTGGCTCGGCGTCTGTGACTCAAGTGGCTAAGGCGCCAGCCACATACACCTAAGGTGGCGGGTTCGAATCCAGCCCGGGCCAGCCAAACAACAATGGCGGCTGCAACCAAAAAATAGCCGGGCGTTGTGGCGGG